TGGTTTATTCATGTGGCCATACATCATCCTTCCTGTCATACCTGTGGCCGAATTATTCATCCAGTCTTCCTTGAGGTTTGACTTGATCGTTTGGCAGCAGTTGGTGTAATCAGTAGGAGTTTCAGGCTGAGGGAGGCCAGCTCCTTTCTTTGCTAGAGCATCAGCTCTTTCATTTCCCAGTATCCCAGTGTGGGCAGGAATCCATTGTAGGACTACTCTGACTTGGTGCCTACTTATCAAATTATGTAGACTCCAAATCAAGTGCAATATATCTTTGTTCACATCAGTCCCACTCCAAGTGTCTCTTGTGTTGAAAGGCTGTCTGTAAAGATAACAATGTCTGTGGTAGCAAGTGGGTTAGTGTCAAACAAGTAGTTGATGTAGTTTACTGTGTTGGTGATAGCCTGTTGTACGGCAATGAAATTGGAGCAGAAGGACCCGCTGGAATTAAAGTCTTTTTTGATCCCACTGGGCAAGTTGATCATTGACCCATATATCCAATGTTGATTGTTGCCTTAAAGGCAGATCTATCAGTGTATGAGTGGATCCATGTTGGTGGATAGGAATCAATTGTTTCAAGGGCAGAATATTTTAGTGCCACAGGATATGTGTTTTTATTGCTCTTGTCCAAAAGTGTTTTTCTAATTTCTGGCTTTGCTATAGTGAGATGTGGTGGGATAGCTGAGGGAACTCTTTCCAGAGGTTCTCGTCTTTCAGGGAGGTGATGTTTTTCTTGGAGATTGAGGACAGTGTCAAGTACAGATTTTGTATTTTTTAGTCTTTGATTAGGTTTCCACTTGTCAACAAGAATTCTATTTTGGTGGTTATTTTCTAGCCTTTTAGATCTTTTATAAACTTCTAAAGCTGCCCATTTTCTTTGAGTTTTTAATGGCTCAATATTTGTGTGGATTTCACAGGCCACAGTGGGTGAGGATCTCATTCCGCCAGAGATAAGACGAAGAGCTTGGTTTTGGATGGTGTCCATTGAGTTCTTTGTAGTTTTACTGCAAATGTTTTGTAGAACAAGACTATAATAAAAAACAGCTCTGGTATATCCTAAATAGAGGCCTCTCAAGGTGTTCTTGTCTGATCACCAGTTGGCACTGGCTAGTCATTTGATGAGATTAAGTCTCTTCATAGCCTTCTTCCTAAGGTTGTTGGTGTGTTGTTTCAGGTTGAGCTTGCTGTCAAGTTGTACTCCAAGATACCCTGGGTTATTCTCCTTTTTCAAGATAGTACCGTCTATTTTGTTTTGAGAGGGATTTCTACATTTGCAAGGTTTTAGCTTCTCGTAAAAACAGTAGACAGTTTTTTCGCAATTTACTTTCATCTTCCATAAACGGCAATAGTTTCCTAGGGAATTTAGATCATCTCATCATTGAGGAAGACAAGGAATAAGGTACAGCTGACAGAAGATCCCTTTGGGAGTCCTTCCTCAAGTACTGCTTTTGAAGATAGATAGGGTTTCACCCATCTGGGTCTGGATAAGTCTATCTGTAAGGAATGATTTAATCCAGGAGTACATGTTTCCCTTGATTCCCATGTTCTGCAGTTTTAAGAGTAGTCCTTTCCGCCACACTTTATCGTAGGCTTGTTGGAGATCCACTAACACAGCCGTTGTCTGTTCCCCTCTTTGAAATCCATCAATTATTTTCTGTGTAAGCCTGAAGAGCTTGTCTTCTGTCCTGCCTTTTGACCTGAACCCTGCTTGGACTGTGAGATCAGACCTGAAGACTCAAGCCACCAATAAAGACACCCCCAGTGGGTCGGGGGGATATAAATAGACCCACTGCTTTGTCTGCAGATGGTGCAACCTCCTCAAAGGCGGAGTGTTGCACACGGACCCCAACCCTCTGGGATCCGTGTGCGGCACTCACTTTGATGTATCTTCCTCTTCTCCTTCCTTCTTTCTTTCTTCTTTTATCTTTTCTTCCACCGCTGACCTCAAGTGCAGTAAAAAGAGAGGTCACCCATCCCACAGAGTGGACGCCTCGTTGACCGTGAGGTGCGACCCGTGCGGAGGGAAACCGGGTATCTGGCGGTTGAGGTGAGATCAGTCCACGGACTGTACCTCGCCAACACACCTCTTTGGTCCACGTTTTCCTCTTAGACGGGAGAGTGGCACGGCCCATGCCACTCAATCGGTTGAGAGCTGAAACCCCATCAAGCCCTGGGTCAATCTTGACGGGAGGGTCTTGTACTTTCTCGTTGAGAGTATAGCTCCGGGGTAGCCCTAGCACAGCTCTGGTCATCCAAGCAATGTGTCCCCTTGTGGGCTCCGTGGCAGGCGGGGAGCCCCAGAGTCTAATCAAATAGAAAACTCTCATGGATTCTAAACACCCTAAAGACCCTTCCCCAGCTCCCAACGTTAGCAAAAAGTCTCGGCTTGCGGAAGCGGGTGCGGCTGCCGAGCCGAGCAAAAGTTCTAAAAATGGTAAAAGGACCTTTACCGATGACTCCTTCCTCCCTCCTCCCAAGGAGCTTCTGAGGCAACCGTACGTGGCCATCTCCAGTACAAAAGACGCACAGAGAAGAATTACCGATCTCAACCACTTTAAGACCGGAGATGCACTACGGAAAGTTCTGGGATACATTCCCACATGTGTACAGAAACTTTCCTGTGGTGCACTCCTTGTCAAGTGCGCAACCGAGAACGAAGTGGC